GCAGCAATGCTGTTTCTCTTGCTGAAGAGACTTCCAGTACCTGTGGGCATGGATTTTTGCTAGTGGATACCAGCACTTGGGTGAACTACTGGTCAGTCTCACCTTGACCTTCAGCAGGCTGTTTCCATCTTTCCTTCATATCAGCTTAGGACATAAACAAACAAACAAAACAAAGCAAACAATAAACCCAAAAAGCTAGGGTAGAGGCCACAGGCTGGGTTTCTGACCATTTGAACCACTTAAACCTATTTCTGCAGTAGCCTCCTGAAAAGCAAAGCCTACGTCAGCACAGCCTGCCCATCCATTAGCAAACTCTTAGCTTGGGAGTATGTGGCTTTGAGTAAGATCTTCTAACACAGACCCACTGCGGGGGTTGGAGAAGAAAGGAACAGCCAATAACTCACCAATGACAGTGCTGTGTCTTTCTCTCACATCACCTCCAGCTTTTCTTCTCACTGGTGGAACCGGGCAGCAGAAGGTCCTTAGCCCAAAGCAAACAAAAGTCTTGCTGTAGCACCATTGCAACGGGCGTTGGGTTGAAACTGTCCCTCAGGAGAGACAGCAGCCAGCTGGAAGCATATTTGCCAAAAGCACCATTGATCATCAGCTGCCAGTAGCCTAAAGCAACTCCTTTGGACAGCTAAAATTGCATCCGGTTTTGTAACAAAGACTCCTCTGCTGCAGTCCCCATCACTCCCTCCACCCCCAAAAAAAACCAACCCAAAACTCACTCTTTTGCCCTGTGACAAAGAATGAAGTGGCTCTGAAAAATAACCTGATTTGCCACCTCCTCCCACTAGTCTTGCTAGCCACCTCCTGCACCGGCCTCACTCTGCAGCAGCCCCTGTAAGCAGGATCTGCAGCTAAGGCAGGATAGGAGGGAAAAGCTGGAGGAGGAGGAGGGAGGGGGAAGGCAGAGAGACTGCATACCTAGAAAGCCAGGAGTACTGCTGTTGCCCACCCTGGAGGCACCACCTCCGCATCAGGCGGCAGTAACAGAGGGTGAATCTGGCTCTCTGGATTTAACAAGCTCACTTTCCTGTAATTGGTGCCCTCAGGCACTGCTGTAGTGCACCTAATAGCACTAATTATTAATGAATCAGCCTTGATGAATAGGAAGGCTGAACTGGCCTCTGTTTCCTTGGGCTGCCAACCCATCACAGGGCCTACTGGATTGCACTGGGCGGGAAATCAGCTGCACAGATTTAAACAGGGCCCTGAAGAGGAAGGGGACTGGGAGAGTCACCTATGCATTTGTCCCCAGCCCGTGCAAACCAGCCAGGGACCAACAGTGCCTTGCTGCTTCTTCTGAGGCGTAGACGTAGCCACCGGAAAGTCCTGCAAGAAATGGGTACTGCACCTTACTTTTATACCATCCCTCCCTGCTCCCTCCATAAGGACCAACCTGTTTACCCACGCTACAATTCAGACAGCTTTTCCCAGTTTGTGCATCCTGGCTTGAGCTTTTGCTCCCAGCACAGACCCGCTCCATCTCTCTGCTACAGCCTCCAAAAAGGAGCAGGTGAGAAAGGGACCTTTTTTTCCCCTTTAAAGGAAAAAAAATGGACCACCACCTCAGTCTGGCCGCATCAGAGGGGCAGCCCAAGGGGGGAGCAAGGCGCAGCCCCCCCTCTCCAGGGCTGAGCCAGGCTGCTAAAAGGTGGAGGCTGGCAGAGAGCCCGATTGCCGAGCACGGGTTCATCCCGCACCGCCGGGGAAGGAAGGAGCCAGCTTTCTGCCGCCCTCCGGGGACTGCGGGGCTGCGGTTGCTCAGTCGGAGCTGGGGACGGGAATTAGGGCAGGCAGAGCCGCAATGGCTGCAACCCTCCCCGATTATCCAGCCAGCTAGAAAGGCACTGGCTTGTCTTTTGTTTCAGCGATGGTTTTTTTCCCCTGTTGATCTGAGGTTTGCCTTTTTTTTTTTTTCCTTATGTGTGTGTGTGTATTTTACAAATAGGAGATAATTTTACTGTGGTAACTATCAACGTTTAAATTCTTTTCTGCTGCCTTTTTTCCCTCCCTAGTTCACTAGCTCACGTTTACCCAGGAGTTAAGGGGTGTTCAGAGAGTTGAACCTCTCCAGCTTTTCCTACAGCAGCCGCTGCCCGGGGCAGTGGGACCGGCCCGGCAAACGACACCGCAGCCTCCCCCCCCGCAGCCCTCTCCTGCCAGCCCTTAGAAACCCTCCAGGTGCAAGGCGACAGAAGGCAAACCGAGTACGCTCCGTCCCTGCCTGGGACTTGGGGCAGATCTCATGTTTCCTTGGCCACAAAACAAGGCAAGACGCAGCAATCACCCCTGTGTTAAAACAAAACTCGACCCTTGCGCTCAGGCTTCAGAAATGACACCTGAAAGGGACGTAAAGGAAAACAACCAATGCCCTGAGCATTGAGGGGCTCTTATAAAACGAACAGGGGGAAGGTGGGGGTCGGTTGGTTGCTCGTGTTCCCCGAAAAAAAATCATACCGAGCTGCCGGCGGAGAGAGCATCCCTTGCCGGTTGCCCGGGGACAGCTGAGCCGGCGGGACCGGGGTTTGCTGCCGTCCCTGCCGCCTATGCGGGAAATCCCGGGGGTGCAATGCAGGTTTTGGAA